GACAACAAAAACATAGACTTACTTTTTCCTTCCCTCCCCCATGGATAGAAGCTTTATAAAGTTGAAGAGACTTTTGTAAAAGTGGTAATTAAAATGTAACTTGCCGGGAGTTTTAAAAGTTACTTAATCCCAAGCTGACATTGGAGCAGGTACACCCTCGAAGGGGAAGACTGCAGCCTGTGAAGGACTCACCCTCGAGCATAGGAAAGGAGTGAGAAAAGAGGAGGGGCAGAGAGAAATCACTACATCCCAACCGCAACCCCACAGCGCTGTTTATTGCCTCACTGAAGGGACCGAGTGTGACCTGTGGTGATAACAAGGGGGAGGAGAGGAGTCTGGAGTGAAGCTGAGCCTGGGAAAGGAGGAGGGGTGTTTTTTCCCTAAGTGTTTTAATGTTTGTCTTTTTTTGTTTCCCAATACCAAAATCAGTAATTAAATATTTATGCTAATTGGCAACAAATAAAGTTAAATTCCCCAAGTTGAGGCTGTTTTGCTCATGACAGTACATGGTAAGTGATTTCTCTGTCTTCATCTTGGCCTAAAAGCTTTCTTGCTCCTGTTTTCCCGTTTTCTCCCACTGGGGTGTGTGTAGGGGGGGAGTGAGCAAGCAGCTGTGTGGGTGCTTGGCTGTTGGCCAGGGTGAACCCACCACTATCATCTGGGCAAGTGTGACAATCGAATTGCCAGGAGAACTGAGCTTATTGAAATACATTTTCTGATGCTTGGAAGCCATCTACTGGATAGGTAAAAAGAGCACAAAATCCTTCATAGCTAAATGCTATATTTGTCATCTGAAACTCAAAGGCTGATCATTTCCAACCTTTATAAGATACAGTGTATCACAATCCTGAAAATTACTACCATGGGGAAAACATTCAGCTGAACACGAGAACTTGGCTTAAAGGACACAGGGAGTTATTAGCTGCTATATGTGCTATTGACTTGAGCAGTTGCTACACACATACTTGCACAAGTGCATTCAAATTAGTTGCCTCCACATTTCAAGAAAGACTTGATCTATGGCCGAACGCTTCACTAAAGAGGAAGATGTTTTTGTTAAATGCCCTTCTGAGGCATTAACCTTTGAATTATGCAAAACTGGAATATGCTGGAAGATGAAAGCATCCAGCACCCACCCTTCTTCTTTCACGTTTTCCATTTTTCTCTCCCACCCTCATCGACCAGCACGCACAACCCCGTGCCACCACTCCCAGCAATGCCCCAGCCATCCTCCTCACCCACTAGCCCTGGCTGATACAAACCTGACACAAGGGTTCACCAAAAGAGATGCAAATCAGCCAAGCCCCAGGGAGATAGTTTTCTGCGTTTATCTCGTGTCCCTGCTAGGTACATCACCTCCTGTCTCTGGGGCGTGTGGATTTCCTTGGAAAGTTTCAGACAAATCTCTGAAAAAGCCTCTGCAAGGCTCCCTGCTCCACCCCTGGCCAAGATCAGGTTTGGACTAACATCGTGAAGGATGCTGTGAATAGGAATGAATGCCGCTCAGTGAGGCAGCGGCACCCCTCCAGCCCCAGCTGCCATGCCAGGCTCCTCTCCCAGATGATTTCAAAAGACCTGTATCCTGCCGTCTCATGAAACCAGACCCAATATGAAAGGTTTCTCCCCTCCCAGGGAGGCCTTCAAGCATCCCAAAACCTCACAAGCCAAGAGGGAAGGACCAGGGCTTCTGTGGCACCAAAATCCCAACTCTACCTTTGCTTCAGAATCAGGAGCTTTTCAGAAAAATGAAGACTCCAGAAAACATTAGTGCTGCAATGGCACTAACATAACAGGGTCACAGGTGGGACTGCTGTAATACTACTGAGTACAGAGGGAAATCCAGCCACTGGTGAAAAAAACTATGAAAGTTTTTTCTGTGCTTTGAAGAGAATGGACGTATCTTTATTTTTCCGGACAACTAAACTAATTTGAAATCATACATATTCCTTAAATCTGTGCTTTAGGCAAATTACAGCCTGCATGTGAAAACTATTTCCTAGACATTAAACTCAATACCCTGAGACTAAGCAGATAGACTTACCAGTAACAAACATCTACACTGGGCAGGTTTTAATTCACTTCAACTTAGTAGCCACCATCTAGTCAAGAAGCAATTTCCGTATTAGGGTAGAAGAATCGAGATTGCCAGTATTTTGCTTTGGAGTGAAAATGAAATATGGATTGTGGTTCATACATTTTTTGAGATGCAATTTCTAAAAAAGATGACATTCAAAAACAAGGTCTTTTTTTGCCATTGTAATCAAAGATACAAATTTCTTCAGCTGCTCTGTTACATTCTTAACACACATTTTCAAGTTCGGGGAAAAATCCAAACCTACTGCTGGGGTTTCAGTATTTTTTTCTTATTCTTGCTAAACTAGTAGGAATAAATAATAAACACATCCTGACTTGAAACTTTAGCTGCCTACAACACTGCATTTAAAAAAAACTTGGTAATGACTGTGTGTTTCTGGATTTGTACAGCAAGCTTGTCTGTGCCACTGATTGGAAAAGATGCTGCAGCACCTGTCACTTCCATAGTACCAGTGAGTTCCAGATGCACTTTATTCAGGATGATTTTCTTTTTTATGGTTTTTTCTTTTATACACACACACACACACACATATATGTATACACATATTTCTTTATATATAAAAAATATATTTTTGTAACAATATATATTTAATATATAAACCTGATGAAAACGCAGTGCAGCCCCAAATCTGTCTCAGTGTTTCTTAAGATCCTGTGTAGAGCGCTCTCTCCATTTATCTCCAAGACTTGCAATTATCCCCACCTGAAGTTCCTCTTTCTTCACATCCCATTTCTGTTCCTGTCGTGATTCGGCTAGCACCTCTGACATCTGATAAGCCAGCAGATCTGTTTCAACATGTCCTTTCTGGATTCTTGGGACAAAATTAATCTCACCTAACTTCAGACATCTAAAGCAGAGAGATTTATGCTGATCACTGCCACCTCCCACTATAGTCAGTGAGGAGAACCAGACCCTTTTAGAGACCCACTCCTCTGACTGACTGCATGCCACGGCCCTTCACGGACAAGGCAGAGAGCCCAAGGGGACCTCATTCATTCCGATGCAAACATCCAAATTGGGAAGATAAATTCCACTGTCTGTGTTAGATCTTTATTAACCCCCTTCTATTAATATGCTCAAGATTACAAAAATGTACATTTTGACAAGTTAACAGTTTCAGCTGTAATGCTTTTGTATTCTTATTCATAAATAATATGCAAACCATTAAAAAGCCCCCTATAAAAATACATCATTTTTTTGGTATGTCTGCTTCTACCAAAACAAGGATAAAATATAGACATGTTTAGTGATAGCTGCAAATGTTACTGTTAATGCGAAATAGATACCAATACCCTACTCTCAGGCATTGTAACATTTCCCCATGCAGAGCAGAACCAAATCTTAAGTAGGCAAATTATTTCATTTAGTGAAAAAAGTTTAATAAATAAAATATTTGATACGCAGGTTTTGATGAGATGAAATTATATGTATCAAAGCCTTCTTAATTAAAAGCTACAAATTATTGAACAAAACTGAACTCAGGAAAACTTCCAGGAAACAAAACTTTTAATAAAGAACGTGGGTGTTTGTGTTTATAAATATATATACATGTACATACAAATAAGAGGACTGTAAGGGATGAAATTGCTTTCCTTTACACGAAAGAACAGAGCGGTCTCTGTGCACTGCAAGCATTACCATTTAGTTGCCTCATGCAACTGCTTTCGCTCCCGCAGGCCCTGTTCACGTTTTTGTTACTGGCTTGTATTTTCTCCTGTAGGGGTTCAAAAACAAACCTGCCTGTCCCCATAGCTCTAGCATAAGGAAAGGAAAGGCTTTGCTTCTTAATAAAACCCCACTTTTTTCAATACAACCGTACGCCTATGGGATTGTAAGATTTCCACAAATATCTTGCCAGATCTGCTAAATAATTCTAGTATTTGTCCAAATTAAGGTCCCTCATTTTAGAAATAATCAAAACACAATTGATTCTTTTAGAAAAGAGAACTGGGCAAAATATTCCATGGAATAAGAGTAAATCTCATTTAGCTGTCCCAGACAGACTGCTTCAAACATTGAGGTCTAAACAAAAGATAGCAATCTTATGCAGAGATTAATATATACACAGAGGATAAAACATGTATACACACTGCTAAATGTACATAAGGCCTAGAAAATTAATATTTTCTGAAAAGGCAGTGTTTGTGACTGTATTCTGTGCACAGCTTTCTCAGATGAATTGCAAAGGAAATCTTGGTATCTCTTGGCAGGTAATGTTGAAATCAGCCCTTAAAGGGTTTACAAGCTGACAAAAACCATAGGCAGCTACTGGGTCTTACTCTGTTGCATGTTACTTATTAATATTGCCCTTTTTAGGTTTGGGAAAGCTTGTGTACTTTCCTCAGTTATAAAGTAGGTCTTCCATTCACTGGCACAGTATTCTTTTGTCTGTAGGTTGGTTTTTTGTCCCCCCCCCGTGTAACATTTCTTAAGCTTCAGCTATCAGTGCTGAGTGCAGACAGCCTAATTTCAGGTGTCTGAAGTAAGTACAGCCTGCAGCTGCTTGCTCTGCCCATCCCTGGAGGGAGGTGTTCCAGCAAGCGGGGAAGCCACATGTGATTTGAAGCAGCTATGCAGAGGCCCCACTTTACATCCTCCCATCCTACGTAGCCCCAAGTCAACGCAAGTTTAATAGCCCGGAGTATAAACTGTGGGACCCCGGAGTTGCTTCCTGTGTGATTCATCCTCCCTAGCTAGAGACAGACCAGGGAAAACCGGTAACTGCTTTAGGAACTTGAGTTTAACCCATCCAGAGATGTCAGAATAAACCCTTAGGCTAACAATGGAAAACCCAACATTACCTTTGCCTTCTTTGTCATGCAGTCTAAGCTTTTTTGTCTGACAACCCTCAAATATGACGTTTTTCCCCCAGACAGTATAGCAAAATATTTTATGTTTTTTATGGCCGACTGGTGGTGAATTGAGCTGTAATGGGAAAGCAAAATGTTTACACAATAAAACCACAAATCATTTTGTAATCATTAACAAGCATTCTCAAAATCTTACTGCTGCCAATTAGAAACCTAATTCACTGGAACTGGTCACTCACTGTATTATACAAAGGAAAAAAAAATAGTCATTGGTCCTTCATGTTCTGAAAAGGGGGATGTGATAGTAGCGGTCGTCCTCAGTCAGGAGAGAAATCTCATTCCATTCCCTTCGGTATTCATCTGGATAGTTTACTTGAAATTCCTCAGTATTAAACCTATGCAGTCTGTAAACTCTTATCTTTACTTCAAGTAAGTATCCAAGAAGAGACAGTTCAACCTAAAGATGAAAGAAGTCTGTAAGACATTTATTTCTAGACTTAAAAAACTAAACCGCAGATAATCCAAGTTAAGGCAAGTCACCTCACTTCAAAACAGTAGACAAGGAGTAAAAGGGGCCCTTTTGTAAGCGAAGTAAGGAAATTAAAAGTTGGAGGGTATTCTCAATGTTCCAACAGTCCTTCCACTGCTCTTTTGCATGTAGAGGACATTCTGGTTAATGCTTGACACTTTGGAAACATCCCTCTTCCACCTGACAATACATAACCTGCTCCCAAAGCCAGCTCGCACAGCTTAGTGGGGAGCACAAAGGAACTATCCATTATTAAAAGACTGATACACCTTGAAAAATGGGAAGCCTGCCACCTTGTGATCACTTGCTACATGAGGGAAATATAATAGTAAAAGGAAAAAATTTCCTCGTACTTCATGTATATGAAACTTGAGAACTGGCCTCTTCATTGACACTTCTTGCAAAGGATTGTTTAATCTGGAAAAATGCTTTGGAAAAAGCTCATATCCTTAGGCACAGCCCGACAGAGCAAAACTTGTCCAGTTATAATCAAATTGCTCCTGAAGGCAACTGCAACATGTAACAGTCGAACTGAATTTGATTATAAAAAATAATTTCACCCATTGGAAAGTGAAACTATTTGCAGAGCAGCAGTGTGGAGCTTAAATGTCAGTACTTAACACCTCACTAAATATAAAATTGAAAAAAAAAATCTTAACATATAAAGGTGAACAATTAATAGAGTTCTCATTATCTACTCTTAACAGACATTACATCTAATGAGAACCAAAGAGAGGGGAAAAAATAAGTGATGATAGAGGGTTTGGCACGGTGAAACAGATAGGAAAAGCAAAACAACAGGTCAAATCTGCATAATCGAAAATTATTTTACATATCAAAGTTATCATTGTTCTAAACTATGTCTCACTGATAGCTTGCAGCATTTATTTCTGGCCCAGCAAGAAAACTGTCCACCCCACTTCACTCTACTACAGTTTTTTTCCTGGAAGGTAAATGACAAACCTCAGTCCACTTCCCCACGTCCCAGAGAAAAAAATTGAGCCAGCTATCACGGATGATGTATGATATATTCACCTAATCACGTCAGAGATGGAATAAGTTTTGTGATGTATTTTTCATTTATATTATTACCTGGTCTAGGCAAATAGAGTCACCTATGGAGTTGAGATGATTCATCATGAAACTCAAAGGGTCAGATGAGGAATCACGAGCAAAGAGAAGGCTAAAAAGGTTGTGTATGGGTTCTTCCCTGTTCTTTATCTGCTCATAGGCTTCGACAACTTCGTAGAGCATGATGAATTTTATGGCCTCATACAGTTTGTGCTCCTTGCTCTCATCAGAAAAGAGTGTATTACACAGGTTTCCTCTTTCTTCATGATCTTTAGTAGCACTTATTTCAGTCCACTGGAAAGCACACAGAAGAATATTAATCAAATTATTAAGAATTCTATTTAATATGAAAGACTCCAAAACAGGAACAATTGCCAGTCTGTACTATACCATTATTGTGGCCAAATGGTGGTACAAATAAGCACGTGGCTCTTTGGGATCCGCAGTGAAATCTGAAGCCTTACACATTTCCGTTTCCATTTATCCAGCTGAACCTATTTGCTACAGACAGCTCGAAGCATCTGGATGCTAATGATAATCTACGAGAAATCAAATGTAATTCCCCTGTACAAAAGCCACTCTCCATCACCACAGAAAAATCCAGGTATCACTGTCAGTAAAGAGTCTCACAGAAGCGTAACTACCAAAAGGACCTCAGAAAGTTACAGGAAATCTGTGCGGGTGCATCAGACATACACACTGGGCCATAAGCAAAGGTTAGATTAAGTGATGACTCCTGACCTGTTTTTAACTTACAGCTTCCAAAATTCAGTGATTTTCCTCTGTAGTACCCTTTACGTTAAAGTTATCCTAGCTTGAATTCTTTAGATGCTGAGCCCAATTCAGAAGCATGTCAATTAAAAGGAACCTATACAAACTGGACAAGCCAGCATGGTATTATGAACTGTACACTTTTGTATGTCTTCAGTGTGTTCTGCTTCATGAGGTCAAGGTAAGTTGGCCGCACAAGAAGGGACATGACAAAGACATGCATGGGACATGAACGGGGTAGGAATTTCTCATTCTGCTCACGGCTGGTAGCGAGAGCTCCTGAGCTCTCTGTTGCTCTAGAGGGGTCAAAAGCCAGTGCTCACGCCCAGAAAATGGGCCATCCAGGAGACAATGTTGGACTGGGTATCAAATCAGAAAGCTTAAAGCACCCAGTCCTGAACACAGTGGCTAAAAAGAGTCATCTGGAACTGAGAGGTTTTCTGGGATCACAGTAAGAGATGACACTCAATGACTGGGATTCAAATGAATTTCAGTTAATTCTGTGCTTGTATCATTTATATGTTGAAGCGGCCATAAACTGAATTGCAACAACAAAAATCTAATTTACACATGAATACTAAATCGAGAAACAGATCCCCCATCTCCTCATGCATTCCTGAAGACTTTCCTTACAGGTTAAAAATGAGACCAAGTGGATGAACCACTACTGCCCCTTTGCTAGAGGACCTCTACTACCTAAGCGAAAAGCCTGTCGTAGTGTAAAGCACCCACTAACCAACATGGCCCAGGCACACCAGCATCTGCAGGCAGCAGCCCACAAGCTGATGACAGAGCTGGAAAAGGCAGCAGAGAGGCAAATGTCTCCAGCTTACCCAACAACCAGGCACTCTTCTGTGGCTTGGTCAATGGAGGCAAGTCTGGAGTGAGGCCCAGACTCATGAGTTTGGGGTGCGTAGCAAGCTTCTTGGAAAAAAAGTGTGCGGGTATATGACTAATACTCCTTGAAAGGCTTAAAATACCTTTGGCAGCAACCACTCCCTACCACCCCTGTATCTTAAAACCATAGCTGGAGCAGACATGTGCATCTATAAGCCTCAGACACTAAGTAATATTTACTAAATCTGGCTATCCAAACTCTGTGGAAACACACAAGGTTTCCTACAGTATCAGCTGAATAAAGAACTAAGTAGACAGTTAAATACAGCAGACTCTGAACTCCCAGTGCTGGCTCTTTAGCACTTTTCACACTACTAAATGTACCATAAAACCCTGTTAGTGAAAACAGGCAAAAATCCCTCTCATTGGCCAAACAGCATCTTTATAAAAATAAAATAAAGTTGGGAGCTAGTCCTCATGCCCAGTAACAGCATAATGCATAATACAGCTGCTCTGCAACAATTTGTTAATTGTACAAGTTTGTTCACCATGCTGACTTGAAACTTTTTTCTGTGCAAACATCCAGTTTAAATGCTTCGTGCTAAGGAAGTAACATCAACTTACAAAGAGCTACAACAGGATAAAAATAAAAGCCTGACAACCAAACACTGGCAAATGCAAAGAGCGACCAGAACAAAATGATAACTGCACGCAAGAACCACTGGGCACGTCTCAAGAAGACAGGCAGTTGTCACTGTGGCACAGCAAGGTTGCAGGCAAGCAACAAGGACCAGATCTCTATTTTAATTCCCTCTTTTTATTGCTAATGCTTTGTTTCTAGAGCTAAATCAGTCTCTTTGTGGTTTGTTGTTTTTCTTTAAGTAACAATTACTATCACTGAAAGTAGGGTTTAAAACTACAGGGTTGTGGCTCATATACACAGGACCACATAAAAGGAACTAGCTTAAATGTGTACCAGTAAAATAAGCTGTTGTGGCTGTGGTAAGACAACCCAGAACCGTAAGGTGTACTGTAGAATTAAAAATGACAGTTTAAGGTCTGATATAGTGGATAATGGATGCCTTCAGAGAAGCGTTTCAACCTAATCTTGGCCAAAACCCTGGAGTCCAGCAAATACCAGTATCCATTTGATGGCTGTGACCCAGTAGAGCATAGAAAGCAACTGCCCAGCAGAAAGAAGATGGGGAGGAGAGGGGTGGTGGTGTGTTAGGAACAGCTTGTGGCAATGGAAATACAACAGTCCACAGCTCATGCAACTGCAGACATGCAGGAACCCCAGGGGAGCTCAAGGAAGGTGCAAGGTCCTGTCAGGCCTAATTTTTATCACTGTTTCAAAAGGCTCTGGGGCTACTAAAACTCCCAACATTTTAAATATGTAAGTAAGAGTTACACTTCTGGTTGGGAACGCAGGCAATCTGGCTCTGCTGAGCAGAGGGGGCAGTCAGGCTGACAGGTCTTCGTAATCAAGTGCTTCAGGTTACGGAGAGAAATTACAGTAAAACTGGATAAATACAGTGTTTCATGGAAAGAGAAGCAGAGGAAAGACAATAGTTTGAGAAGAAAATGCACTATTCATTTGTTCCCTCCCTTTTGGGGAGGGAATCCAGGAGGATCTCATACAGCATGTTGTTATTTTTAATCAAAATGATGAGGTGCTGCAGGAGCCACTTGATGGCAAGGGCAACTAACCGTGCAGCAACTAACAGCTGTGGGGAGGATGGCCTCCCTAACTTTCAGGGGGACCCCTAGTATTTAACCTAGTAGATCCCCAAAAGCTGGATTCTCCTGCAGGAGAGGCGATGGCCTGCCCAGCAGCTCAGCGCTATGAACCTGGGAGGGAGGCTGACTGCCATAGAAACATGTAACAAGGAACAGTTCCCTAACTCTGTCTCAACTCATTTCTCAGTGATTTTATTCCCCCAGCCATTTCCTAAATACTCACATTTGTCTTTAATGTCTCCATACATTTGCGCAATTTACCAAAGGCATTGGGACCCATGTATCTTTCTGGCCCAAAACTGTATTGCTGAATCCAGTTGCAACCTTGAGAATACAAAAGCTTTTCAGGGAGCTGGGGAGGGAGGGAAAAAAGCTAATTAAGTAGAGATTATAACCATAACAAGAAGTAGAATATAAAGTTATATAAACTTGTCTACACACATTTTAATTTACGATGTGGTTCTGTCCTCTGGTTGTACAGTTCAAACAACAACAAAAAAAACGGGCTTCAGAACAACTCAAATGTTAAGAAGGAGGCTCCATTTGACTGCCCAGTCCTTAAGAATCTTTTAAAACAGGGCCAAAGAAGAAGAAAATATGCTCTCAGCAAAATATATAACCCACACTCTGGAAAAGCTGGATACATCCAAACTCAGTGAGGTTTTTAGGATTACAGACACCTTCCAGTTTGCACACGCATCCCCACAGGCAGCAGCTATAGCTCCCCACCTCCCCACTGCTGTCTCCTGCCAGAGCTCCTGGAGCCCAGGGCAGGATTCCTGTTGCTCCAGCAACACACTCGGCAGCTCCCAAGCGAGCCACTGGACTTTGCACGGATGTGGATGCGGAGGATTCAAATATCCTTTTGTGTTAAGGGAGTGACATCTAGCAGGGTGCCAGTAACAATTATCCATCCACTTTTTTTTTTTAAATAACCATTTAGACTCATGTTCACTTCGCTACGTTTGCATCAGGGACACTTTTTCAATTAAGTGTAGTTCAAAGAGTTTGAAAAACTTCTCTTTAAATTCTGATAATGATTCTCCTCTACTTCCATATCAGACATGTCAGTTTTCACATTGAACAAAGCTTCCTTCTGCAGTGCAATGTCACCTGAATCATGAATTTTACCTTTAATATATCTCTCTCCTTCATCCATGATGGAAAAGGAATGCCTTGGCTGAATATCTGAAAAAGCACTGCTCTTAGTACGCAATAGTTGTCCCTCCTGACTTGTCGCAGATATTTGATGTGATAGCTCCAAAACAATTCTTCATATGCCTAGAAAAAGACAAAAAAAATTTAGCAATAAACATTTTAAACCTCAGACCAAACCCATGTTGAATTGGAGTCCAATTCTGA